GAAGTGTATAACGTCGAACGAAAGAAAAACATACAAGACACGGTGAAAACACAAAACTCACATGTCCTTATTAACAGTCTGAGGTCAGAGCCAGCAAACACATCCAACAGAGGTGATCCAAAATACGTAGTCCAGAGGGAAGTCCGATATCATACACTGTGGCAGTCTGAGACAAGAGGGCAAAGCAGAAACGAATATACCAAGGTAACAGTCCGGGTCAGAAACACAAGATACAAAACCGAAGGAAAGCTGGAGAGTCAGAGCTGCGGTCTAGAACAATCTGGCAGCGCCGTTGTGGGAGGACGCTGCCTAAATAGAGGTATAAACAATAAGGAGCAGGCGAAACTAATGCGAGTGATGAAGAACGTAAAAAGACCGAAACTAAGGTGAAAACAAAAACAGGAAGCAACGTCAAAATAAAAGCTGGACCGAATCATGACACATAGCCTGTTAATAGAGAGAGGTTAATCAGATCTAGTATGGATGTGTTGATTAGGGGCAAGCCGTCTTTGAGCAGCCTGGTCGGGATGGGGTCCAGGAGACATGTTGATGATTTAGATGAAGCAATTGTTGAGGTCAACTCAGAGAGATCTATAGGGGAGAAGTAGTCCAAGTATAAATGAGGTCTTACAGATGTTTCTAAAGCCATTGTAGTAGATGGCACATCTGCGAGAGCTGTGGGAGTGGTCCGACCAATTTTTTCTCTAATAGTTGTGATTTTATTTGTAAAGAAGCTCATGAAGTGTGCACGTGTGGCTGACTGAACCTCAGGATCCAGTTTTACTCTGTAACAGTGGAAAAACGCCTGCACACAGTTACAACCCAACAGTCGACTTGGAGTCAGTGTGCTGGCGATACTCCTCCGTCAGTGCTGCTTTTTAAATCACCTTGCTCCTGTTGTACAGACTGAGAAGAAGCTGCTAGGCCCGACTCAGGGCGATGCAAACTGAATTTGTACACTTTGGTGTATGTGTGTATCAGACCTGTGCTGTTGTGTTTGTGTGTCTCTGTCGTCAGATCACTGTGATGGACGAGACGTGGACCGTGTTCAGACGTTACAGCCGCTTCCGGGAGATGCACAAGAGCCTCAAGTTAAAGTATCCGGAGGTGCGACGGTGAGATCCACTCCTCTCACAGTGTCTGTTCATGGGCAGCTCCAGAGAACTTTAAGTGGCCGGGCCAGTGGCAAAACAAAAATATGAATAGACATGAATTTAAATGACTATAAATATTAGTGTTTATTTTCTTTGACTTACGATCACGACTTATTTCAGCTTTGAATTGTTTTTTTTTTGTTGCACTACAGGTGAAGTCAGAAGCTTACAGACACTTGCGCTGAAGTCATTAAAACAGATTTAAAATTTTGTAACCACTCCACAGATGTGATGTTAACAAACTCTCGTTTTGCCAAGTCGATTAGGACGTGTACTGTAAACAGTTGTTTACAGATGAATTCACTAAATCACAGTTCCAGAAGGTCAGACGTTTCCTCACACTGAGCCGACTGGGCCTTTACAAGGTTGGGAAACTCCAGAGAATGATGTCGTGGCCTTAGAAGCTTCTGATTGGCTAACTGACATCACTGGGGTCAACAGGAGATGCAGCTGTGGATGGATTTTAAGGCCTAGCTTCAAACTCACTACCTATTTGTTTGATATCATGAGAAAAGCAAAAGAAATCAGCAAGACGTCCACAAGTCTGGTTGGTCTTTGGGAGCAGTTTCCAAGCACCTGAAGGATGACAGCTGAAATAAATCTTGTTCTGTACCATTAGTCTGACACTTCACATTCTTAAAATAAAGTAGACACGTTGTCGTGATGTCTCGGTCTCTGTTTCAGCTGGCGGCTCTCGAGTTCCCTCCGAAGAAACTGTTTGGCAACCGGGATGAGCGGATGGTCGCTGAGCGCAGGAACCACCTGGAGGTACAACGTTTCAGTCCGGTTTTATTTACACACATTAGAGAGAAAGTCATGGAAGCAGATTCAGTAGGTGGTGTTAGAACGAAAGGTCAGAGGTGTGGAGGTGACTTAGTGCTGCTGCTGTTTTCCAGCGTTACCTGAGGAGCCTGTTCCGGGTGATGCTGTCGTCCTCCAGCTCTCCCCTCAGATCCCACGCTGACGAAGGTGTCCATCTGTCCAAACACGCCATCTGCGAGTTCTCGTCCTTCTTCAAGAAGGGTGTCTTCGAGCACAGCAGCCATGGCACCGGCTGAAAACACAGACCCGCTCGGCGCCTCTTCCCCAGCCGTAGTCTGGGAGAAGGTCTGAGGAGGGAGAAGCCACACGTCAGTTTCGACTTGCACATCCTGTCGTGACACGAGACAAACACCTCCCACCTGCTGCTCAACTCTGCGCCCAGCGGGGACTTGACCCTGAATGTTAACGTAGCTCCTTTAGTCTGCTCTGTTTGAGAGATGCATTGTGTGTCCAGAGAAAAGTACAACTTCATGTGGTCTTCAGTTGATGGAAACACTTGACACAAAGGAGTTGTGTGCATTCCTGTGATAAATGGTTAAAGTGAATGACGGCAGCCTCTTCCTGTAATGAAACGAACACTGGGGTTGGGGTTCGATTCCCTGTGCCGCTCAGTGCGTCAGCTCCCTTCACTCGCTGGCTTTGACCTGAACCTTGCTCACAGCAGCAAACTAGTGAACGGTTTCGATGAAACATTGTCGTTTATCAAACTGCCAAAAGTTCACTTGTTCCAGCTTCTGAAACCTGAAGATTTGCTGCTTTTCTCTGTTTCATATCAATGCAAAGTGAAAACCTTCACACTTGGGTCAAAACAAGCCCCCAGTGGATCTGATCTCAGGCTCTGTGAGGCATCTGACATTTTAGAGACACGTGGCACCAGGAGAACATCTAGTTTAGAAACAGGCCAGTGGCTGGAAACTACAGCGTGTCCTGCTGAGGTCAGTAAGCATGTGACCCTCCTCCTAACCTGTTACCTCGGGTCAAAGACACCAACACACACTACATGCAGCTGTGCAGTAACGAGAGCGACACTGTGCTGGTTTGGTGCAGCGCAGATGTGGCGCTTCGCTGAACTGGTCCTGGAAAGTTCACTGTGACGGAGCAGAAGATGCTGCTGGGCAGCAACGGCTCTTCGCACTGTTAGGAACGTGTGCAGCTGGAAGGCATTCTTTGTGACAGATGTGGAGTCAGAGCAGCGTCGGCATCCCCAAAATAATACCAAAACCCAGTGCTGGCAAACTCCAGCACTTCATACCCCAGATGTTTTTGTTTAACCCAAGTTTAGTTGGTCCTCAGATTAGAGCTGACCTGAGGAAACATCTGGCAGGTGAGTTTTAAATCTACAAAGTCAGGGTGAAAAGAGGTGAAGCTGAGAGTAAAACAGGCCTGTTTCCTGATGGAGCTTTTATTTATACGCATTAGCTTTTCAACATGTTTATTAAAATGGAGTGAGATGTTCGGAGACCCCATCACAACAAAGATCTCTCTCCAGTGGGCCTCGCTGCATCGGCACAAGGCCAAACATCTGTGAGCCGTCAGGTTTCCAGATGTTCTCCCAGAGGAAGGCCTGGCCCTGCATCAGTGGTAGATAATTTATTTTGATTTAGTTTCCAAAGATTCAGGGAGCAAACCAGCATCTGTCTGTCAAGTCTTCCACACGTAGCTTCAACAGGAAACGCGTTCAGACCTGAAACTAGGCGAGGTCACTGTGACCGGCGACCATGGGCTGCTGCTTACATAAGCCATACTGTGTGTGTATAGACTGTAAATGTGGATGTGCATAGGTTTTCTACAGGATATGAACGTCAGTAAAGGGAATGAACCAGAACATTCTGACTGTGTGGACTGTTTCTGTTTCTGGGTCGTGAAGGCTGGTGTTACGGTGAGATGCACCAGTCCCAACATCGCCAACCTGCTTAGCATCAAATAGACTAATCTCAAACCTAAACAAAAGATTTGACTTGTTCCCACATAAAGAATCTTAATTCAGCAAAAACAAATTGCAGTGACCTCAAGTTGGTGAAAAGAGAGAGCAGCTGAAATGAAACTAGGTTTTACAGATTACATTGTTCAGAGGGAAGTCGGCTTAAACTCCTGAAAACTCCCTTTCAGATCTCACTTGTTCCCTGTGGGTTTAAGTGTTCATGATGAAATGAACAGAATTCACAGGTTGACAAACTCTCATGCTCGTGTGCTGTTGGTTACAAGCGATGTGTTTAAACACTTGGATAATCCGCTTCCTTGGGAGCCAGTAGGCGTCGTCACACCTGAACCCGAGAGCTCAGAGAAAACCCACAAATCAGTGTGCGGTCAGATGGAGGTGCCGATGTGACTCAGCAGATGTTTTATAGATGCCTTCAGCTGTGTAACCCCCCCAGGAAGTGCTTTGGCTCACCACCAGGTACCACCACCTCCCATCAACACAGGGAGGAGAAATGCTCCTCCTTTGACAAACTAGCAGTGTGACCAGAGCCACTGCACATTAAATCTGTCAGCATTTCACAGCTGTTTGGTTTGTAACGGTGTCCTGGAGCTGGAGGCACTGAGGAGTTTGATCTCCGGGTTTTGTTCAGATGGCAGTCTGTCCCGCTGAAGATAGTTTATTGTTAAACAATGAGTGACTTTAACATTCAGAGTTTCCTCAGAATCAGTTTATTGGCCAGGTGTGTTGGACACACGAGGAATTAGACTCAGGTACATCGGCTCTCAATGGGCAAACAGTAAACCAGCATAAGGCTGTGTAGTATAACAAAATAGCAGTATTAACATCAACAACCAGTGCAAACAATGCAGAGTAAGCAGTATAAACAGACAGTAAACAATACAGACAACAAGGAATGTTCATTGAAATGAGATAAATAGGGATAAAAACAGTAGTTAAGAACCAGAGACCTGTACCAGGTACATTTACAGGTATTGCACTGAGGGTTATTGTCCAGTCATACTGTCGTTGGTTAAGTGTTCATCAGAGCGACAGCCTGGGGGAAGAAACTGTCCCTGTGCCTGGTTGTCTTGGTGCACAGTGACCTGTAACGCCGTCCAGAGGGGAGGAGTTCAAACAGGTTGTGTCCGGGGTGTGAGGGGTCAGCAGTGATCCTCTCTGCCCTCCTTTTGACCCATGAGGTGTACAGGTCCTCCATGGAGGACAGGCTCACACCAGTGACCTTTTCTACAGTCCTGACTGTCCGCTGAAGTCTGTACTTGTCCTGTTTGGTTGCTGAGAACAGACTGGATGATTCCTCGAGTCCCCCGATGAGTTTCCTGCTAAAGATGTCGTCACCAGCAGGGATAAAGGACAAGGCAGCTGAGAAGGTTCATTTATATCAGGTTTCTACAAAACAGACTGTAGTGAGCGGCTGGAAACCATCAGATCCATCTTATGCATCAGGTGTTTAGGAAGTGAGGGAGAGGTGGGAGGCCAGGTGATGTCCTGGAGAAGTTCAGGATCTGGAACTCTGTCTGCCCCGCGGGCCTGAAGGCGAGGTTGGTTCACCAGTGAGCCATCACCACTGTAGCGGCTCCATGTCTCATTTCCTGTCTTATGAGGACAGGGCAGTGTAGCCGTCAAACCGGTGTAGCACCAGAACGAACGAGAGATCCTCAAGTCCTGAAATACTTTTGTCTGTGTTGTTGGACAAGACAAAAACCTGTGCACAAGGTTAAAACTATATTTTGGGAGCATTGCGACGCCATAACTTGACACTTAAGTGGTTTAGCAGGATCAGTACCTTTCATTTTTGGTGCTGATCTGTACTTTTACTCGAGCAGAATTCTGAATGTGGGGTTTTTATAGTGTTGCTACTTTTACTAGGACCTGGCGCTGACCTTTTGCCCTTATTACCTGTAATAATATCACAGTGTTGAACAGGTTTTAACGTGTAGTTACCATCAGCTCCACCTTGGACACAGTAACGCATCAGTCACTATGATCCAGTATCAGGGACGAGTACCGGTACTGTTGGTACTTCAAGTAGATTATGAATGCAGGAGTTTTTCTACTTCGACTTCAGTAAAGGATCAGTCCTTCTTCCACCACTGATCACACTGTAAAGTGTTTTCCCCATCTGCTCTGTTCAAACACAGGAGATGCGAGTTCCAACTCGCCACCAAAATCAAACATTCAGCCGAGTGTTTTGTAGCATTTTGACTTCTATCCAAGGACTCGTCTCATAGATCAACTCAGTTTTCAGCTTTTATTACCTTTACAGTTTCACTTTGTGCTTCTGTATTTTAGCAGCTTTGCTGATTGCTAAGTAATAATGGAGTCGTCACATAGGCTGTACACACAGGTCACTTTTTATTCTACTAAACATTATTTCAGCTGCAGCTTTGGTTGAACACCAGTTTTCTCTTGTGGATTTTACAAACATAAATAGAAACATAATCAGAAAACATTAAAAGCTCAGAGACCAAAGTTAAAGTTACAGTAAATCAAGAGTGAATAGATGAATCTTAATGTGCTCACCCTTAGAAAGGCCTGAGCTCTGACACCAGACAGTTTTTAGACCAAAGCCAAGACCAGAGATTTATAAAGACAATGTTGATCAGAAATTTAGATTCTCTTACCAGCCAAACTGTGACAGACACGTCCAGTGAGTAGATGGAGGTAAAGCAACATCTGTGCAGCCTGTGGACTCAGAGCGAAGTGTTTTCTTTATGAAACAGGAACTTGTGTGTAAATGTGGAAGGAGGAACTGACACGTGTCTAAGTGACCGGGTTTGGTCTAAAACCACGACCTTATCTCTGGAAAGTCCAACAGTTAACACAGAGAGGTGTTAAGATGTTAGATGGAAACAAACGCCTCCCGTGTTCCCTCAGGAGGAAACCTGCCCCCCAGTTCAGCGGTGCGGCTTACTGGGGCTTTAACAGCTGGTGGACAACAGTGGAGGTCTACGGCCCAGAGCGATGAGCTGGACTAAGGTCTGGACTCACACATGATGCTGAGGACACCACGTTCACTGGTGCTGCTGGTCTCTGCGCGGGGTTGGTGGGAAGTAAATGGAGAGAACCAGCAGACTTTAGTCTGACCTGATGGGTTTGTGTCCGTTATCGAAGTGAAAGTATCAACTGTCTACAGATACTCAACGTACTGAGAGTATCAGAAGTACATCTACTGGTTCTGCAGGAACGATTGTCTGACATGATCAGACTATTGATCAATAGCCCCCCCCAGCTTCCAGAAGCTCATTGGCTGGTGATTTGTAGTTGCTGTCTAAAGAAAGGGAACTGTCTCAGCATGTTGCTTTGTTTGCTCAGCTTTATTCCAGGGAACGTTACAACACAGCGGTTACACTCAGTGGTCAGTTTATTAGGAACCCCCTTGACAAACTGCATGATTCTGACCCAACAGTCCTGCAGTAAATCCTCCTTCGGGTGGTGGTGATCAGTCTCTGAGGTATTGATTCTCCTGTGGGATCAGGATGGAGGCTGCTTCAACTGTTCCTACACTGACAGGTGTTTGTTATTTTGTCCACCCCATTTATATCTACAGGCTAAATACCAGTGCAGTCCAGCAGCAGACCACATCCTTCCTGTTCCCCTCCGAGTAAGACTTTGTTTCAGCCAGGCGTACCTAATAAACTGACGCCCAGCCTTGGATACAGTCCTTCCAGTGTTCAGCGAAGTGGCTCTATGACTGGTGTGAGTGGCTCGGCTGGCCGATCTTTGACAAATCCACGAACGACACGGTGGCTGAGCCTCGCTTCGCTGGTTTGGCCTGAGGGACACAGAACAGTTCTACAGTAAATCCAGTCTCCTGCAGGAAAACAGTGGCTCATGGGTAAAACCCAGCAGCGATGTGTTTAGTGTCTGTGGTTACAGCCTGAATGTTCACAAAGAAACTGTCTGATCTACACAGGTCGGATGTTGGATAGAGTTGGACCCCCCCTTCCCTTTCTGAGGTCGGGCAGGCGGGCTCTGTGTCTGACCAGGTCGACTGTGTTCACCGCCTGTTGCGGTTTTGTTCTAAGCGGTGTATGTGTGTGGAGTCCTACACCCTGACAGCTTGGAGGAGCTGCACAGTGTAAACAGAACGGAGACTGAGCCCTTTAAAGGCTGCTCAGGTTTCACAGGTCGCTGAGCCCTGAAGACTCATAAGGCTCCATCAGTAGCTGCTACGTGCCCACCTCGATGTACCCGGCCTCAGCCTTCATCAGGTTCTGCTCTTTTCTCCATTGAGACAAACCTACTTCAGTTGGCAGCTACAAAGACCCTGGAGGAGCCCTGTGTCGGCCCCACACTGGCACGGTCTGGACCACAGGTGTCTCACCTGTGACTCGTGAGGCTTCCAGCCAATCATGTAGAGGATCTGGAAGGTGGCGGGGATGGAGCCGTCCTCATTCCCGTTATAGGAACAGGCTGCCATTTTGGGGGCGTGTCAGTGCCAGTACAGAGGGCGGTGCAGGATGTGGGCTGCGCCATCACAGCCTGTGAGCCGAAGGAGCACCAGCCCGTCCAGTGGACAGCATACAGAGATGCTTCTCTGAGCACAGTTACTGTGCAAAACGTTTGGACCCACAGCGTCCTTGGTCTGTGTTACCACCACAGTTTGCTTTAACAAACAGGAAGTCCACACACCCACAGAAACGAGTGTGTTTTCAGCTGCTGTGATGAATCAGCGTGGACAGTCATGAACAACAGGCACCAGCTTGGAGTTGAAATGTCAATAACTGGCAAAAGCCAGAAAAGAGAAGTCCCAGAAATAAACCCTGAGGTGTTACGCCACAGAACGTGGCTTATCTTAGTCCTAGGAAAGAGACACCAGATTCAGCGAGGGTGGGAGTGAGACCCCAGACTGAGAGAGACAAAACCACTGAATGCTGTGACGTCTTTGTGGACATTTAGCTCCATCCTCTTGGTACCAGTGCATCTCTGTGTAGCCCGGTGTCCACTGTGACCGTTTGACTGTCCTTCCAAACCGGTCACTTCACACTGAAGGTCTAACAAGACAACTTCCTGCTGCAGCTTTGTGCCTGTGACACAGGATGTGTCATGTTTGTCATTTCTGACACCCCCCCCCCCTTTATAAAGGGCTGCTGCCGCCAATACGGTGTCTCTGTGCAACAGCGGCCTCCTGTTCCAGGCACAGTTGCTCTCACCCATACCTGCAGAGCAAGCAAATGGAAGCCTGTGTAAGTCTGCGCACGAGTTTTAACCTGCTCATCTCTAGTTGACTCTTGAGAAGGCGGCAGCTAACAACCTGTTCAGGTGACAAAAAGATGGAAACAGAACACATCAGCGCTAGTTACACCTGAAAATAACTAACATTAGTTTCATGAAGGCTGGCTCCGCTGTGGGGCCACTGCACAGGTGTACCTAATAAACCCACACCTACGTGTAGCTGGAAGCTCGTTCTCCCGCTGTGCACGAGTTCAGCTGATGACAGATGTGGAAACTAAGTGGCAGATAGTGACGGGACGCCAATGTGTGTCATTAATCCTGGTTTGTTTTACACCAAGTCTCCAAGAACATGCTAGGCTGGGGTTAGGGTTAGGGTTAGCCCTAGGGCGTCCTACCAGACAGAAACATTAGTGGCTAACTGTCTAAAAACCACAGCAGGGGCTAAAATAGGAACCGAAGATAGTTCACTAAATCCTGGCTGAGTGGTCCACATTCTCCTGGTCCCCAGGGGCTGAACCCTACAGGCTCAGATGACTCTGACTGTCCATCTCGTGTCACCAACAGGTTCAAATTCCCACCTGCCCACCTCCTCACGTTCCTGAGTTGGTACCTCGACAGTGAAGGACTGATTCAGTGTTAAAGGTCAGTGTGTCACCTACAGTTTTCATGCTAACTCGGGCGTGTTAACGCACTGACGAGCCAAACGGAGTCTGTCCTGAAATAACCTCTGCAATGTGTCACATCGAACACTGAAAGGTTCAGCGGGGTTAACGGACACAGCTGAGATCCAGTGTGTTTGTTTAGCTTCCACTTTAACATTTTCGTTTCAGTAGTGACTCTCCCTCGATGTCCAGCTGTGAAGGGTTTACCTTGTAAATCGGTCATGACTTCCATGATCCCTGGATAGTGAACCTGAACATCGTCGACATCCTGGAACACAGACACAGGCTGGATGTGGTCACTGCCGACACATTGACCAGGACAAGCAGACTGGTGTGGTCTGCTACACACGAGTCTGATCCTCATTTAAAACCTTTATTCTAGTGTTTTTCTGTAAAGCATCACATGTCAAACCTGCTTTGTGCTCTGAATCGATCATTTTACTCCTTTTAATGTTTTAATTGCTTGATATCTGAATCGATCATTTTACTCCTTTTAATATTTTAATTGCTTGACATCTCCTTTTTCTGATTTTGTACAAATCAGCTGATTCCGAACATCAGCAGATTAATCATAATAATTAAAATGATCATTAGCTGTAGTCCTAGTTCATGTATACACACACATCAGTGAGTGAATCTAAGTGTTGAACCTTTTCCCTAGTCTCTGCTTCGTTGTGTGTCTGTTTCTCCCCATCCCTCTCACCACAGTGAGCATGCTGAAGCCGGCCTGGCCCAGCAGGTTGCCCAGGTCGGTCACAGCCGTGTAGGGGGAGATGTGGGGGGAGAATCCTCCCTCCCTCTCGGTCTCAGCGAGCTGGAGGGAACAGCGCAGCTCGTACAAGGTCTCCCCACCCACCATGGCCCCGATGAATACCCCGTCCGGCTTCAGCACCTGGTGGATCTGAGACAGGATGGCAACATGACTAGAAACGCAACTTGAGCTGCAGCTGTCACACTAGTCAGCGTGTCAGTAGGCGACGAGACTCTAAATGTACTTTGTCTAACACTTTCTGGTTCCAGCTTCTCACATATAAAGATGTCATATGTGACTGAACCCCCAGATCAGCAGGTGTGTTTACAGGTGAAGTGGTTAGCCCCATTACTGGACGCCATCCCTGTCATCTCACCTGTCTGAGAGCCCCAGGCAGGTCGTTTATCCAGTGCAGGCTGAAGGAAAACAGAGACAAGGCAGAGTAAACAGTGGGACCGTCACTCCCTGATCCGTCAACACAACCAGCGACATATGACTGAAGCCTGAACAGTGAACTCCACTGGGCTGAACTCACTGGATGTTGGACACCACGTTGACAGAGGATGCTCACAGAAGCCTCTCAGCACGTGCACTGTAGCACTGAACATGCTCTTGGTCACTTGTGCAACATGGACACACTTAGCTTTGGATGCTGTCTTGCTCTTATGTGGTGTTTAATGTAAAGTGTCTCCCAGGTGAATCTAAGGCAGTGAACACCTGTGAAACAGCTGAGTGTCGTACGGCCACAGTGAAGGTGGACCATTAATGGACTGGTCTCCTCAGTCCTCCAGTAGCAGCGTACTGTGTAATGACCTTATGATGCGGTAACATGTGACTAAGGCTCCAGATCATGGCCATGGGCGCTGTATGGACACCACCCACCTCAAGCTGCTCACCACCAGGTCGAAGGTGTTTTCTTTAAAGGGCAGAAACTCCTCGTCAGCCAGAACACAGTGAGTTGGGATCTCACTCAGCTTTCTCTGCTTCTGAAGGTCAGAGCCATGAAACCACATCGGTTTATATCAGCATCATGTATCGGTGCAACATCACTGTGTCTGATCAGCCTCGTAAAGCACCCGGTTACAGCTGCTTCTCACCAGGACTGTTTGAGGTTTCACAGTTTACAAAGTGTAAACAAAAAAACAAGTGTGATGGTGTAGACTGTTCATGCACTGCAGTGTGATGCTGCTGCTGTGGTTCTCCTCACCAGACTCGCCTCCGAGATGTCGGTCAGGAACAAGCGCTCCACCATCTCCTGAAACACCAGCGTCAGCACCGTTAGGTGTAGAACTCAGCTACTGTTTTGTCAGGGACACGACGTACACAGCATACCTTGCTTAGATGGCCTGCAATGTGACTTTTCCCAGCGCCGATGTCCAAAGCCAGAGGAAAGGTCCTGAGGAGACAGGAAGTGGAAACAGTGTCGGACACACTCAGACATCCTGCGGTAAACTGTGTGGGAATGTTCTGTTAAACATGGACCCGGCGCTCCGGTCATGAACCCACCTTGCCACGTCATAAATCCGATCAGCGACTCGGCTGCTGACCTGCAAAGCACCAGAGCACAAAATCTGACTTAGCAAAGTGCTGCTGGTTGTATTTTCTCTGGTGGCCAAAGTCGCACTCTACTGCACATCCAGAGCCGAACTGTTTATTCCTCCTAAAAACAAAACACTGACAAAGACTTGTTGTCACTGACAACATGTTTTAAGCATCAATTTGTCCTGAAGTACTTTTTACAACAGGGAAGTCTTTTCAGTGCATGTGGTCTTTTTCAAAAAGAGGTGTGATCTTTCCCATCACATTTCACATCACGTACCTTTTCATACCACTACCAGCAGCAGGCAGAGCTGTGGGTGCTAGAAGCTGAGAATCCATTCTAATATGTTTACCTGCTAAAAATGTCAAGTAAATGTATCTAAAGCTAATCGGCCAAAACATCACTGGGTGTAAAATCATCCAGGAAACTGCACCTAATTAGAAAAGGTGCATCAGAGCTGGATGTCCAGATGGTCCACAGTACAACCTGAACCATCCTGTGCTCATTTTAATGCATCACAATGGGGAATTTTGCTTTTCACTCCCGTTTTGTGACGGACTCTTGTAATAACTGATGTAAATGAACTAAAATGAATTCACAGGATTTTTGTCAGAAACTGGTGAAACCAGCTCTTTTTTCCATCCGGGCCTCCTGCACCGTGCACATCCTCCACTTTGCAGCTCATCTTTTTCCACATGCACTGTCGACTTCTGCAGGTTGCAAAGCACCTACACTGTAAAGGGGAAATGTCAGCTGCGCAGCGTCAGTGTACTTGAACTGGCGTGCACTGAGGATATCACGCACAGCCTATTAACCTGGCACCTTGTGTGCACCTGTCCGACCGGCTCTGTGGATGTGTCCTGTCTCACCTCGTCCCTCAGGTAGTCGTACTGGTGGCTGTCCTGCAGAGACGCAGCCCAGTTCTTCTGCCTCTTCTTCATCTCCCTGTTGAACACATTCACTGTGCCACTGCCCGGTGACGACAGACCTCTGCGGGGATCAGAGCTCGGCCCGGCCGGGAGTCTGCGGCAGGAGGACGTGACCTGGCGCCATCCGGCTGAGGTCGGCAGGACTCGCACACACGCTCCGCTGCTCATGGCGCTGCTCCGGTCTCCAGCTCAGAACATCAGCGGCGAAAGAGGACGAGAAGCTCCAGCTTCAGAGGTGAACACACCACCAACACTGACCTCTTCCTGTCCTCGTCAATGAAGGAGGAGGGAAAACATGGAAGTGGACTCTACTGGGATTACTGGAAACTGTGGAACTGGATCACAGCCTGGAAGTGGACTAAAGACGTGAAACTATTCATTACATGTTAAACTCTAATACTGCTCTGTGGAACTGGATCACAGCCTGGAAGTGGACTAAAGACGTGAAACTATTCATTAAATGTTAACCTCTAATACTGCTGCTACTACTAGAACTAATGAAGCAAGTTTACCATCAGCTTGTTTACCATCAAACTCTGTAAATGAGTCAGTTAATTGTTCAGCTTGTATTCGGTCCGGACGTATAGATTGTTTTCATTATCCGTTATATATCAAGTGTTACACTAGAGGAAAATGCCTGTAATAATATGCTGTTTAAATAGTTTGTTTTATTTGAATAATAATAATAATAATTAATAATACACATAACAAACAAACAAACCAGGAGAAAGCTTTAAACCTTCATATATATATATAAGAAGCTGGAACCAGTGAGCACTTGGTTTATTTTTGCTTGAAAAGATGCTAAAAGGATTGGTTAATTATTGAAATGGTTAATTATTGAAATGGTCTATAAATATATTTTGATTAGCCAGTTGTTTCAGTAATGTGGAATAAATGCAAAATGGCTCAATTCTTTAGCAAATATCATTCTAAGCTGCATATCTTTGGGTTTTGGATTGTTGGTTGAACACAATATGACATTTGAGGACAGCTTGCTTTCTTTGAGTATTTTGTTTTTACACATTACACATAATTAGAATATTAAGAAAAGATGAATAACATGCAGTAAAACATTTACAGACTACACACAGCACTCTTTAGGGCTGTGATGTGTAACTGTACATTTCTGACCTTAAATCCCATAAACCAGAATTTGTTTTACTGACTTAACATGTTTAAACATCAAAGCCCACCTTGTCAGAAAAACCGCGAGATTAGCATTGAATGTTTTGGGACTTGAACGCACCGACACACTTTGTGATATACATTTAATACGTGTAGGAATAGTTTCTGATCAATAACAGGCAGATGAAACCTGTTTTTGAGATTATATTATTACTTTATTAGCTAGAATGGCTCGAAAGTCACATATTCCTGTTGCTCAAGCGCGTTTTAGTCCGTTTGTCCCTCTTCGCTCGCCTTAGGAACAAAGCAGAAAGTTCACGGAACAGTTGCATGCTGGGAAAGCACGTGCAGCGGAAGCTCTGTGAGGTACTGGTGAAGTAAACATTTTAATACCATTTTAACCAGTTTTACAGCGCATTTCAACGTGTAATTGCTCTTGTTCGTCTCCAGTGTGTTGGTTTAGTTCCCGCCGTCGGCCTCCGTTTTCGCGTGGGCGCGTTTTGTTTACGTGTCCCGTGTTTGTTCTGAACCGACTGAAACGGAGCCACAGCTTCAGTAACGACAACGCTCATGTTTCTGACAATAGAGACAAACACCAGCTTTGCCGAGTCCAACGGAGACAGTTTAAACCAACAGACCAAACCTCAGACCTCTTCGCTCCGTCTGTGGTCGGTTAAAGCAGGCGGACCTCGGTACGTCAGGTTCGGCTTGGGTCCAGTCTGATTCACCTAGTTCGGCCTAGTTACACCACATTATTTTGAACCCTCCAGCTAAATGTGTGTATGTAAGTTACCGTGTGTAGCTCGGAACCGTTTGTTCCGGTCCACTTCAAAATAAAAAGATCAGATCTGTGGTCTTTAAATTGTTTTAGGGTTCGTCCCAATCCATTGATTTGTGTATCTCTCTCTTCTCTATAGAGTGTGTGTGTGTGTGTGTGTTTACAAGAACATATTGCAAATGGAAAAATACCGATTTACTCAATAGATAAAGTATAAACCTCGGTCACATGTACACGTATGTTTCTCAGTCACACTTGTATGTTTAGGTTGTTTGACCTGAAGAAAAGAATATTCATTCATCAGCCTTGTTAGATTAATTATAAACCACCTCAGGTCTGTGTCCAGGGGTCCAGTCTAGAGCTTTAACGTTTCTTTTTGTTGCTGATTATTTTTAGTGTGTGATTGTGATCAAGTGGTTGTTTAGTCTGTAAAAAGCCAAGAGCCCAGTTCTTTACTTCATTTACTGGATTACTACCCAAAACTCCTCACTGCTGATGGTGTTCCGTCTCTAGGTGTGAGAGAGGTTTCATGCTTGTCGTCTGTCACCCAACAGTACTGTATGTACCCTTCCTGTTTGGCAGGTGAGGCTGCGGTTTTGCCACCATGTCGTCCAGAAAGACCCAGGATGGCGATGAGCGCTTCCTCCGGGTGCAGAAAGACCCCCGCTTCTGGGAAATGCCAGAAAGAGAGCGCAAAATCAAGATCGACAAGCGCTTCCAGTCCATGTTTCATGACAAGCGCTTCAAGGTGAAATACACAGTGGACAAACGAGGTCGTCCCATCAACTGCACCTCCACGGAGGACCTGAAGCGTTTCTACAAACTCTCCGACTCTGAGGAAGAAGCGGACGAGGAGGATGCAAGGACCAAGAAGAAGAAAAAAGCAAAGGAGAACTTGGTGAAATCTGAGAGAGACGTGAGGAAAGGAAAAGAGGTGCAGAGCAGCAGTGGTGACGCCAAAGGAGAGCGAGGAGTCCGAGTCATGGAAGATGAAGGTGAGAAGCAGTTTTTATTGATATTCACAGGTGTAGGCTGAGAACATGGGCACAGATTCAACAGCTGCAGGTGTTTTATTCCAGCCTGTAGTTCACTGGTCAGCACCGGTGCACCCTGGAGCAGCCGCTAATGGACCTACTGCACCGCTGGAGACGAGAAGAAACTAAACTGAGATGTGGTTTCCAAATCCCACACAGACAGGAATGATTGATCGAAGACGGAAGAAGCTGATGATCAGATTCACTGTCAGGACGCCAACCTTTTTAAATTGTTCACTGCCACCCTGAGTATGTGGAAGCATTTTTTCAGAAACAGATGTTTCTGCAGTTCTTAAAATTAACTTGACAAACTGCGGCACCAGGCAGAGCGAGCATGATCAAAATGACAACGCAGACACAAGGAGCTTTTTTTTACCAAAACGTCAGAAGACTTTACTTTGCGGAACATGAACATAAGCTTTGCTTTGAGATAACATTTGACACTAGACAAAGACTGGTCTCCTGTGGCTCCTAGATACTGTGGAAGGGGACTGAACTAGAAGCTAAAGGACTGAAGACTTTGAACAGTCAAAGTCAGATTTTCCTCCGACTTCCTCATCACATTTCTCCTTCTGTAAATTCATGCGATCATCTGTGCAGCTGTAACGGTCTGTCTGCTTTTTGTTGTTTCCCTCAGATGATGAAGAGGAGGAGGAGGATGATGTGGGCCTGGAGGACAGTGTCACAGACAGCACTGAGGAGGAGGATGATGAAGATGCTGCAGAGGAGGAAAGCGATGTGGCGAGTGGCTCAGATGAGGAGTCCAGTGCAGATTTGGAGGAGGACAGCGACAGCGAGCCTGATCTGGCCAGAGGGAAGGGCAACATAGAGACCAGCTCAGACGAAGATGATGATGATGAGGAGGAGGAGGATGTGGGTGCAGTCCTGCGGCGAGAGGAAGAGGAGATTGAACACGACTGGGGAGAGCTGTGCAAAGACGCTCCACGAAGTGATGAGGTGAGACTGCATCTGGTGGGACATTCATAACACGTTGTAACTGAGTTAGTGTTTTCTGAGTGTGTGTGTGTATGTGTGTCAGGTTTCTGCCCGGCTGGCTGTCTGCAACGTGGACTGGGACCGCCTGAAGGCCAAAGACCTGCTGGTTCTGTTCAGCTCCTTCATCCCTAAAGGAGGAGCCGTGCTGACTGTCAAGGTAAACCTGGTCAAGGAGACACTGACAGTGAACTAGAGGCACAAACGCTTCCTGTTAAAGAGTAAGGCCGGTGATTTTCTCCGTTGACTCCCACCAACCCCGCCCAGAGACCAGCAGCACTATGTGGTGTGGCTCTATCACAGCTCCACAGGCTGAGAACGGCGTCACTGTGGACAGAGCCGCTGGTCTCTGCTCTGCTGAGACACCACGTGTCTGCAGCTTCCTGCAGCCTGACGAGCTCCCTCTGTCAAACACAGCCTTCCTGTGCAGCTCAGTTTTCTGTGGTAAAAACACGGACGCAGTCGATTTAAAGTCCAAACGCTTTCTTTCCAAAGTTGCCCACATTAGCATGGACACAATCTGCTAATGTGGGCACGTGGAGCGGGCCTTTTATCAGACTGTCGTCATCAGTGAAGGACGGCGGGTAGGTGAATGTAGAGTGTGTGCCAGAGAGATAAACAGCAGTGCATGCTGGGTATTGTTTTCCAGATTTACCCGTCAGAATTTGGGAAGGAGAGGCTGAAGATGGAGGAGGTGCAGGGACCGATGGAGGTGAAAGCGCTGCCCGACGACTCCGAGGACGACACAGAGGAGGAGAGGTAATGTACACATCGCCGGCTGAGCTTCACCTCTGTCCTACCCTGAGCCAAAAGTATTGTCACTCTGTATTGTTCATATTGATTAACATTGATCATTTAGCATATATTAACGCCACGAACGAGGAAGGAGGAACATTCAGCATGTTTGTTGACGATACACAGGTTGCTGCGTGTTTTACAGCAGAAGTTGCTTTGTTGTTTGATCAGCTTTCAACAAAACAATCCATTTCCATCATATGACCTCTGCCTAACAGAGGCCGATGACCGAAGGTTACACAAGGTCATCGTCGTTATCAATAAAGTCGTAGTAATTATCAGTATCCTTTTATGGCCCAGCCCCAGTTTGTCGTCCAGTGTGGTAAAGGCCCAGACTTTGAACAGATGTCTCCACACAGTGTGTTACGCATGCACACACAAATGATTATTAAAGTCTGGGTCCATTTAATTGTCTTTTAAAGGGAATGTTCACACAAAAAAGTACAAAATCATCTGAATATTTTCCCACTTGCTCTCTAGTGTCGCTGCTCAGAGCTTCGATTTAATTTTTGGGGGTTTTGTGGTCATCGCTGCTGACATCCTGTCATCCCTCCGGTGTCATGGGCTTGGCGGGCAGAGCCGTGCGGTGCCCCGGCCTTGTAAAAAGCCTCGGTTACAGACTGTAAATGAAGTATTATCAGATACAGCAGGTCTTCCCCTGATCGGTGTGTGTCTCCCTTCAGGGTTTACAGGGAGAGGATGCGCGACTACCAGTTCAAGCGTCTGAAGTATTACTACGCGGTGGTGGAGTGTGACTCGGCCGACACAGCCACCAAGATCTACGGGGAGTGTGATGGCTACGAGTACGAGAGCAGCTGCTCCGTCCTGGACCTGCGGTACGGGCAGCAGGCATGAAAACACCCCGAGCATGAATCTGAAACCCAAAAGTTTGTCAAGCACATCTTTGTCAAATATGATGTTGATTGAACAGGTTTGTTCCTGATGAAGTCACGTTTGACGAGGAGCCCAAAGATGTGGCCACGGACGCGAACCTGTCGACCTACACGCCTAAACTGTTCACCTCGTCCGCCACCGCCACCTCAAAGGTAAGAAGACGGAGGGTTACGTACGCTGACGTTTAAAATGCAGAAAAACTAAATCACCACTCAGACTGTTACCACACGCGTCTGTTGTCAGGTAGGATTTTATAGTTTGTCCAGAACAGAAGTAATTCTCCCACAGTCGATCAGGCCCAGATGTTCCACCTTTAATTCATCCAAATTCCAGTGAGTCAGAAGTTTAGATACACTGTCCCATTAAATTCAGTGGTATTGTGAATCCAGACTGGGAGCGTGCACCGAGTTCAGCGTTGCCTTCAAAGCCTTTAACAGACTGTCACCGGTCAGGCCTCCCCTTTAAGAGCCTATGGTTGACGTGCTCGTGTAATTATCAGCACTCAGTGCAGTAGAGGCGGAGAGAGATACTATAGTTGGCTAAAAAAGAAATCCATCCAAGAACAAGAGGCAGAGAGATACAAATACTTAAAATACATGAATAAGTACAACTGAAATAATAATGCTTTATTGGTTTTAGGCTCAGTTTAATATCAAGAGGAAACTTTTGGTTTCACATAATGAGAGCAGACCCAGGAAAGGACATTCTGATGTAGAATTTCAAAATTAAAGCCCCCAAAGTGCCATGTTTATAATCCACGTCAGGTTTGAAGATGTTTCGGACTGTGAACAGCGAAGCATTGACACTGGTGGTGTTGTGGCCACAGACGGGAGCTCGCTCAGCGTTGGACTCAGCTTTACTCAGAAACGTGTTCGGCCCAGGGGCAGTTCTGCCCCGCTGCCCTGGAACCTGAATGCTAGCTGAAAAGGGCCTGTACTGGGTTTACACTGGGAACTAATGGAATGTGTTGCCTGAATTTTTTTTTTTTTTAATAATTTGTTGTTCTTTGTGATAAAACGTTTGCATGGCTCAGATCTGCCCGACAGATTCACGCACAGTTTCGGCCAACAGTAACTGTACAACCACAGAAATAAGACCAGGCCTGTATAGAGACTGAGCACTGATGTGTCCATGTTGACCTGATCAGGTGCAGCTGACCTGGGACGAGACGGACCACGAGCGTGTGGCCACCCTGAACAGGAAGTTCAATAAAGATGAGCTGCTGAAATTGGACTTCGACGCCTACCTGGCCTCCTCGAGTGGTGAGGAGGACGAGGGTGGAGACGACGCAGTAGAGGGTGAGAAACACGTCACCTTCAGACACCTGAAAAATATCTTAACAGCAGCGTTCTCCAGGACTATACTGTCTTTGTTTTAGCTAAAGAGAGAGAAGAGGAGGTGCAGAAGAAACCTGTGCAGGAAGAGAAGAAGAAGAGTGAGGAGCAGATCTCCAAGTACAGGGAGCTGCTGAAAGGCATCCGGGACAAAGAGACGAAGCTGCAGGAGGACAGAGACATGGAGATGGAAGTCACCTGGGTTCCAGGTATGAGGTCTCATGCTCACTTCAGGTTCCACGTCTGTGGGACTCCGGTGCTTTAGAGGAGAAGATTTAGCGAAGATGCTCCGACTGCGTCTGATTCTCTTTGTAAGAACTGGAGTTGGCAACATGTGCAGCCATTTTGGTAACGTTACTACATCGTAACCAAAATCAAACGTTGTATTAAATAAGGTTTAATACTCGCATCTCAAACTAAAAGTACTCCAGTTTTTACAAACCTCCATCTACACTGAAGAGCAGTGTTTG